AACAAGAAAAAAACTCAAAACGACGTTGCATATTTATTTGAAAACAAAAACAAAAATCTTATTCTTGTTCAGAGCGGATTTAATATTAATAGCCTCAATAAATAATATATTATAGAACGATCATTTAATAGCCGTTAAATGATAGTTGTATACACTATTTCTTCTACGACCAATTACAATAATTAAAGACCTTTATTTTAAAATTTATTATATTCATAAATTACAACTAGAAATACCAAAGGAAATAAAGGAACTGAAATATCAAAACATTTAAAGGTTAACAGTAACAAAGAAATGTTAATTTTTTGCATGTGCAATTCTGTAATATTATAAGTGGATGTTGTTGACGTTCGTTGTACTCAATTGAATCCAAAATTTTGATTGATCACGTTCACTTTACTTTGAATTGATTCATCCATGTATGTTGTTGATTTCCATTCGCCGTGACGTTTTAATAATTTATATCACCACCAACGTCAACCGGAAAGCAGTGTCCGGTATATAAACTTTCAGAAAGTGGCAATCTCTTTTCCCATATTTCCAAATTTATTTCTACCTACGTTTTGTATGATGCATTTACAGTTGACATGCTTGATAAAAAAAGGGGTTACACAATTTTCTGGACGAAGATTTATGTACATTTTACACATTTCGTCATATTTTCCTATAACCGAAAATTTTCGAGTTGTTTTGGTTTTAACATCTCTAATTGTGACTAGAAAGAGATAACTGAAAATTCGAAAATTTAAAAATTCCGAAAATTGAATAATTGAAATATGTATAGAAGAATTGAAAACTCGAGAAATCGAAAAACCTAAAATTTTAAAAATTGAAAAGGTATCGAAAAAACTCAGAAATCGAAGTGTAAAATAGTCGAAAAATTGAAAAATCCAAAGTTCAAAAAACGAAAAATTGAAAATCCAAAACGTAAAAAATCGAGAAATCGAAAAATCCAGAACTCGAAAGATCGCAGTACCTACTAAAAAATCCCAAAACTGAAATATCGAAAAATTGAAGAAATTGAAGAATCGAAAAGCTGAAAAATCACAAAATTGAACGAAATATCCAAAAATTGGGGAATTAAAAAATCGCAAAAATTGGGAAACCGAAAAGTCAAAAAAGCAAAGTCAAAGAATCGAAAACCTGAAAAATGGAAAAATTGAAGGACTGAAAAATCGAAACTTTGGGAAGTCAAAAAATAAATATATTCATTGAGAAATCGGAAAACTGAAAATTCAGAAACGTCAAAATTTGAAAAATTAAAAAATATTGAAGAACTGAAAAATCGAAAAATCTAAAATTTAAAACACTGAAAAATTAAAATTTCGTAAAATTGAAAAATGGAGAAATCGAAGCATCAAAAAATCAAAAAAATAAAAATTCGAAAATCTAAAATTTAAAAATCGAAAATTTGAAAAATCAACAGTCCGAAAAATCGAAACACGAAAATTTAAAAAAATTGGAAAACTGAAAAATCGTATAATTGGAAAATCGAAACATCGAAAACCGAAAAGTAAAACATCGAAAAATCGAAACGTCGAAACATTCAAAAACTGAGACGTGGAGAAGTCGAGGAGTCGAAAAGTCCAGAAGTCGAAAAATCGAAAAATTGAGAAACCGAAATAGGCGAAAATCGAAAAATCGAAAAGTTAAAAATGGAAAATTGATAAATCGATAGACTGAACAATCAAAACATCCAACCATCCGAATCTCGATAAATCGAGATCCCAAAAAATTGAAAAATCGAAAATTTAAAAATTCGGATATTTTAAAAATCTACGAATGGTTGAAAAATTGAGAAATCGAAATATAAAACAGTCGAAAAATTGAAAAGTCCAAAGTTTAAGAAACGGAAATCTGAAAATCCAAAAAATAAAAATCGATAAATCCAGAAGTCGAAAAGTCGAAGAAACCAAATACCAGAAAATCCTGAAACTGAAAAAAATATCCAAAAATTGAGAAATTAAAAAATTGGAAAATTGAGAAATCGAAAAACCAAAAAAGCAAAGTCGAAAAATCGGAGAATTGAAGAACTGAAAAATCGAAAATTCGAGAAGTCGAGAAATGAGAAAATTAAAAATATATTAATTGATGAATCGGAAAACTCAAAATTCAGAAACGTCAAAATTTGAAAAATTAAAAAATATTGAAGAACTGAAAAATCGAAAAATCGAAAATTTAAAACATTGAAAAATTAAATTATCGTAAAATTGAGAAATGGAGAAATCGAAACATGAAAAAATCAAAAAAATTATTCGAAAATGTAAAATTTAGAAATCGGATAACTGAAAAATCAACAAATCGGGAAATCGAAACTCGAAAATTTAAAAAAATTGGAAAATTGAAAAATCGGATAATTGAAAAATCGAAACATCGAAAAATCGAAACGTCGAAACATTCAAAAATTGATACGTCGAGAAATCGACGAGTCGAAAAGTCGAAAATTGAAAAATTGAGAAACCTAAATAGGCCAAAATCGAAAAGTTGAGAATGGAAAAATTGATAAATCTAGAATTTTAAAAATTGAAGAATTAAAATATCTAAAAGTTGAAAAATTGAGAAATCGAAATATATACAGTCGGAAAATTGAAAAATCAAAAGTTTAAAATACGTATAATTGAAAATTCGAAAAATAAAAATCGAAAAGTGGAAGGATCAAAATACTGGAAAATCCCAAAACTGAAAGAAATATCCAAAAATTGAGAAACTAAAAAATTGGGAAATTGAGAGATCGAAAAACCAAAAAAGCAAAGTCGAAAAATCCGAGAATTCAAGAACTGAAAAATTGAAAGTCTAAAATTTAAAACATTGAACAATTAAAATATCGCAAAGTTGAAAAATCGAAAAACTGAAAAATCGACAAATCGAGAAATTGAAGCACTAGAATTAAAAAAATTGAAAATTTGAAAAATCGGAATATCGAAAAATTCTAAAATCCACAAATCGAAACATCGAAAAATTGAAAAAGTGAGATAACGAGAAATTGAAAAATCAGAGGATGAAGAAATGGAGGAATGGAAAGCCGAGAAGAAAAGTTAAAAATTGAAAAATTGATAAATCGAGAAATTGAACAATTAACACATTGAAACGTCTGAATTCGATAAATCGAGAAATCAAAAAATTGAAAAATCGAAAAATTCTAAGAACGAAAAATTGGAAACTCGAAAATTTAAAAATTCGGAAAATTGAAAAATTAAAATGTAGAAGCACTGAAAACTCGAGAAATAGAAAAACCTGGAGTTTTAAAAATTGTAAAATTAAAACATCGAAAAGTTGAAAAATTGAGAAATCGAAGTATAAAACAGTCGAAAAAATTAAAAATCTTAGGTTTAACGAAAAATTGAAAATCCAAAAAGTAAAAAATCCAGGAGTCCAAAAATCAAAAAGTCGAAAAATTTAAATATTAAAAAATTCCAAAACTGAAAGGAACATCCAAAAAATTGAGAAATTAAAAAATTGAAAAATTGAGAAATCGAAAAATTGAAAAATCAAAAAACCTGAAAAATTAAAGAATTGAAAAAAATCGAAACTCTAGGAAGTCGAGAAATGGAAAAATAAAAAAAAGATTTGTTAAAAAATGGGAAAACTGAAAATTTAGAAACGTCAAAATCTGAAAAATTGAAAATTCGAACTATTTAAAAATTGTAAAATTAAAGACGACATAAATTGAGAAATCGTATCATTGAAATATCAGAAAATTGAGAAATATAAAAATAAAAAAATCGAGAAATCGAAAATTTGAAGAACGGCAAAATTGAAAAAGCCCAAAATTGAAATATTGAAAAATTGAGGCATCTGCAGTTGAAAAATCGAGAAATCGAAAAGCCGAAAAATCTCAATAGCGTATATTATAAACCACAAGTTCAAGACTATGTTACTTTTTAACATTTAATTAACATTTATTCGACAAAATTGTAAGAGGACTTCATCAATTCCTTGGGGCGTGAACGGATAAATTTTGACTAACGATTTAACATGTTTCCAATAACTATAAATTAGAAAATGTTGTTGATTTTTTTCCAAAAATCTTGACGTCTAAGGTAAAAAGTCAACACGGATTCATAGACCATAAGCGGACGATATAATTTAAATTAATATAGGTACTATTGTAAAATTTGGAGTGTACGTCATATACCTAATGCTCTCTTTTATAGTACTACAAACTGTACTCTTTTAGATTCAGAAAAAAAGTTGATGTCATTTCTGGTGAAATTGAAGCTAATACGATGCCAATAGCCTACTCATTTAATAGATTGTATTACATATATTGAACATGCCTAAGTTCAAATTTTTATAGTTTAACATAATTGAAATATTTGTGTGGGACAGGTGTACGGACAGTACAACCAATCTATATACTGATATACATATAAAAGACAATGTTCCGACTGACCTATCAATGTCCAGCCCAAATCGCTAATGGTACGAATTGGAAATTTGGGGAGGACGTTCATTTTATACCGGAAGCATCATTTAAGAAGGGAGTAACAGTAACATTGAATTTAAATTTTTACGTGAAACTTGGTATTAATAGTTAACGAAACACAATTAAAGTATGAGAATCTAGAAAAAATATAATATAAAACTTCACATGTTGCTTCACAATTTTCCCGTCCACTAAAATCATGCTATCACCACTTCATTATCCATACGTTACAAGCCTTTATTACCCCTTAAACCAATCATCTCCTCATATCCACATATCAATCACCTTCACCTCCACACAACTTTTTCTTCCACAGAATGAAGATACATCATATTCCTTCACACACAAAGTGCTAAACGCACCATCACCGACTCATAATTCTTACTTTTTCCGAGAGATTTCCTGGATTGAACCCACTCACTCACGTCGTATATACTTGTCGATGAAGCCGATAACGGCCGTAACTCTTTCAACCGTCCCCAGGCATCCCAAATTGCCGCATATTAAACCCCTTTTAATCTGCACCTCTTTCTATCTATTCCATCTGACGATAGATTTATCGCCTATGTTTCAGACGTAATAAGTCAAGCAAGCAGCGGTCGGCGAAGTGCAGCATACAGCAACATCTACGGGGACAGACTCACGAGACAGGGATCGAACATTAACAGCGAAAGGGCTTCCGTGGCCTCCGGAAGTCTCACCAGCGGCGGTTTGGCCGCCCCAGACCAGACCGCCACTTCGGAACTCACGCCGCAGCAAATAGGCGTCATGGGTGAGTACTGTCTGTTTGTATCTGCGGAAATCTTAGCGGTGTTACGGCCAATGTGTCATTATGGTAATTTCTGGAACAAAGTGCAGGATGGCGGGTTGTGCTACATCCTGGCGCCGTTCTGTGGGAATGTCGCGCGAAATCTAACTTTAGAACTATTACTGAAGTTACTATTAGAATTTAGTCGGATTCTGAATAACTGATGACGGAGGTATTGGAAATCCTGTCCAAGTGGATATTTTCTATTTTCTAGACATAGGAAGTAAGCAAGCATAAAATGGAGATTATTTGTTTTAAAGCATTGTTACCTCTGTTCTCTTTGAAATTTAGCATTTCTTTATAATGGAATTACCGTTTAAAATATGATATCATGGACAATTTTTGATGAAACAGAATATACAGAGTGTGTTATACAACTCACTTAAAGGTTATTTTTTAGTAGAACACCTGGTATAGTTTTACATATGTAGATTATTTACAAAAGAAGTGGAAAAGCGATGTCAGATGGGTTTTTATAATTTTTTTAAAATAAAAATCGGATTTACCTATATGCACAAATGTTTGTCAAATTATGCGCATATACATATAAGCAATTTACCTCTGGCTACCCGGAAAGAAAGAATAATAAACCACAAACAAAATACACGAGAAATGTTTATAATTACATTTATTACCTATTGTTTGCATGCAGTTAAATGAGAGTTACTACACATTTATCACTTAAGTAACCTACCAGTTAATTAGCAACATAACGCCCGCAAGCATCCCAAGTTTCGTTCACTACAAACTATATAAATTGGTTTTTTACATTTTTTTAGTACTAAGTGTAAATAGTCTCATTGTAAATATCTGGTACATGCTTTTTTCTCGGCGTACTTTCGTCCACTATAACCTTTTTACACTATTTTTCGAAAAAAGCCTTGAAACAATGAATTAAATACTTGCTGTTCATTTTTCTTTGAAGTCGGGCAAAAGATCGTTTTAAAAAAAATTGCGACTGTTTTGATTCGTGGAGATTTTGACACTTCCTTTTATGAAGTTGTGTTGAAACATATTGTGATATTTGGAACTTGCGCTGACAAGTTATCTATTTTTTTTTATTTGAAGACAAAAACAAGTTAAAGCAGTCGTATTAAAAATATGCAACATAAGGTTTAAAAAATCACATGCTTTGCAAAAAACATTTTCGTCAGCTGAAAAAATTTCAAAATAATCTTTCATCCATGAATTTTTGAAACTTGTTTGCACTTTGGGCATATCTCACAAAATTTAGTACCACCGGCCTCCTTTAGTTTGAGCTCACTTATTTTGACATATCGCGTCGGTGTAAATGCAGACATACGTTTTAGTGACAATAGACAATCAACAAGTAGGTAGAGGGTTTTTTTTTAATCACTCACAAATTTTTTATTGGTCAAATTAAAAACGAGTCACCTCATTTTCGCAAAAATGTGAAGAATACGCGCGTCTTTATAATATTCAGAACATTTCGTTCGATTGTGGTTTAATTAATAATTTTAGTGCTGTTTTGAGAAGACAAACTCATTCAAATCAAACTAACTTCTACGTGATATTCTTGCGATGTATAAACATAAATAAACAGTTGAGCTTCAGATTGCTACCTAGTGCTAAAGGACGGGGGGTGTTATTTATGCCTCTGGTTTTATAATTTTATAATTTTTTAAAAGAGCTGGATTTGTCGGATTATACTTATAGCGTCCGACAATTTTTTTATTGATCGAATTAAGAACCCAATTTTCTAGAAAATGCGAGAATACCCACGTTTTTATTTAACTATGGTCAAATAAGACTAATATTACTGTTCTGTTTTGAGGAGACAACTCATTAACATTAAACAAATTTCTACGTGACATTCTTTCAATGTATAAACATAAAGAATCGAAATTAAGCATACACTGATAATAATACACTCTAATACACCCATTGGTTATTTGCTTTGAATGCATTTCATATTGTCGGTATATCTGCACACGGCAGGGGGTTTGAGGTGTCATTTGCACCACTGGTTTATTACTATATAAATGTTATCAGAAAACACCAAATTTCTATAATTTTCCAAAGAAGCGAAATTTGTGGGATTGTACGTCATGGGCGAGGGAAGGTCTCTCAAAGCAACCTTGGACCAATTTTTTATATTATTATTGCCGAATTGTAGCTAGGACAGGTTTGCATTATAATATAATAAAGCTATTTTGACCAATACCCAATTAATCCAGGTTCCTTATGACCTCACAGCTGGTGAATACGAAAGTGCAGGTTTTCCGTTTGCATCTGTTTTCTGTTAGCGATTTTTGGGCAATCTGTGATACTAGAGTACCGACAATCGGGAAATTTTCATGGATTTTAATATTATTCTGGAAATGGTGTTACGATAACCAAAATTTGTCTGCCAATCCCTATATTTTTATTTTATGGAGTGTTCAATCATCTTTAGAATGTAGTAGGTATATCTCTAATTTTCTGTATATAACACCAGTGAGGCACTTTATTTTCATCATTCTTTATATATCTCAGCTATTTATGGAAAATTCGGAACGCGGTTTTCACTATTGTTGTCGATTTTTTCGACAAAAACTCGATAATCTTTCTTACATAATTTTAAGAGTTTTGAAAACAGTCGTTAAAACCGCGTTCCGAAATTTCCATAAGGAACGTGTTTGTTATGAAAAATTTCACCGAAATTTTAAAAAGGGTAATAATGGTACACTATTTAAAAACACATGTAGAGATAGTTGTGGATAAGTTATATTTAAAAATTCGTAGCAATTTCGTTGTTTTTGTTTGTTTTTTTATTTTTTGTTCTATTATGTTGTTAATAATAAATAAGCTTAAAATATTTGCAAAATTTCACAGTACAGTATAACCTCGATAATCCGAATTAATCGTGGAAAAGGTGTGTTCGGCTTAGCGATTTGTTCGAATCAGTGAATTCCCTAAAAATCTGATAGGGAATTGAATAACAACTTTCAAAAAATAAACGTTAATTTTATTAAACAGAAATAAATATTTATAACATTTTCGAATATTTCGAAAATATTTCTCCGTGACCCAAAACACGCTATATTTTTGAAATCAGCACGTGGAGATCGATAACCCTGAACTTTTTGAGAATTATTAGACCACTTTTTCAAAAATGAAATTTTAGACTTACGTAAATTCGAAGATTTTCGAAATTTAACTAAATACATTTTTTTTGTGGACTTTGGGCATTTTATATTGAACAACAAAAAAGCTAAAACTAACCCCGCCTACTTTCGCTTTTGAATTTCATTGGCTTATTTGATTAGATGGAAATTAAATTTTATGTTGTCGAGTGGCCGAATTTACTAATAAAATTTAAAATGGCCCCGCCCACCCACCCGGTTTTTCTTCTGATCACTCATTTTATTGTTCAAAAAGGAGGTTTTTTTATTGATTAACATTGGAATCTAGACGAAAAGGTAAAACTAACCTCACCCACCACTTTCGAATTTCATTGGCTTTTTTGATCAGATAAAGATTGCATTTTATTTTGTTAGGTGCTCGAAGCTGCGCTTAGAAAAATTCAAAGTGGCCCCGCCCACCCACCCGGTTTTCTTTCTAATGGCTCATTGTATTGGACAAAAAAAGGATTTTATAGAGATAAACAGTGGAATCTAGACTAAAAGTAAAACTAGACCCTGACTGAAGTGGCGAACTAGGCTTTAACATTTTCTTGTAGATTTCGAGCCATAGAACTCTGTTTCGGCCTAAAATCCAACATTTTTTCCAGAATCGACCGTTGAAATATCCAAATTTTTAAATTTTTAAAAAATCTGTCATCAAACCGAATATTTAATGAACATACATGCGCCATATTTTTGGAATCAACACGCCGGGATCTGCATCGCTGAATTTTTTGAGAATTTTTGGACAACTTTATTTGAAGTGACATTTTTCCAATACTCTCTCCCCTTCTTCAAATTTCGCCCCATTTTTGACCATTTTCATAATTTAACTAAATACATTTTGGTTTGCAAGTTCAGTTCGGATTAAAGACACATCGATTCAACTAACCTCTGTTCGAATTACTGGATGTTCGTATTATCGTAGTTTCGGATTATAGAGGATAAACTGTATTCGGTTTTTACCATTTTAAAGTTAAACTGTAATGCTATTTTGATTTTTTTCCTAAAGATCTACATGCCAAGCGTAAAAACTCAACGCAGATTCATAAAGCACACATGCAGGAGCATGTAATTTTATAAAATTTAAGGAACTATTAACGAATAAATTTTGGGTAACGATTTATTTCGTTTCCTATAACCTTAAACTTTTGCAAGATTTCAGAGCATCGGTTTTGCAGTTTTACGGTTTTTTTGATTTTTTTTTCCAGAAATCTGTATGTCTATTGTAAAAACTCGACACGGATTCATAAATCACATGTACATGAGTATTTTATTTAAAAAATTTAAATAATATGTACTAATGTTAGGTATGTGTAAATCAACACAAATAGCACTAGACTCTTCAGGACACATCGGTTAAACAGTAGAGCAAGAATTGGAAATAAGATGTATAGTTAACATGATCAGACTATTCAAGGGCAAATCAGCGTTAAACCAAATATCTGTCAAAAATTAACAACATCATTTGCAGTACGATTTTAAATGGTGTATAATTCTCTACAAGGAATGTAAATAATAACGAAAATAATTGACTTTCATTATTTCATTATTGTTCAGAAAAAAATATATCAAATACACTTTAATTAAGAGCCATTTTAGGTTACATTTTTTGCCTCTCACAAAAAGTTATCATAGAGTAATTTAACAACACCACATAGTTTAATTATACATTTAATTATAAACGAATTAAAAAAAAAGACTTGTAACATGCAATATGAAGTCAAGAACGAGGTTGTGTGAATGCAATCCACCATACATAAAAGTTCGGAGCATCATTTTGAACTTTTCTTCAAACTGTCTTTAAAGTATTCCTCTCCACATATTGATATTTTAAAA